ATTCACTGGGTGAAACAACACTCCACATGCAAATAGAAACTGCACTTTAGGAGTGATCAACAAATTGCATGATAGAAGGACAGCATTAGTTCACAGTTGAAAAAACATACAACGCTACCAGATGGATTTCATTTTATACGATCTGACTGATAGCAGTCCNCCGCAACTGTCGTGGAGAATCATTATCAACTTCGTTTACCTTGGAAGAGAAACTGGCGCGAGATACCCTTTAATCGATACCTGGCAGAGAAAAGATTAAATCACCTGCGAGTACGCCTCGAAAGAGATTGCTTGAGGGCGAATGCGGCACAAAATGGGGAAGAGGTTGCTCCGAAAGGGTGCACGTTTAGTTGGTACAGATTTGGCGACGCATGGAGATTCCCAGACGGATACCTAAGGAAGCTCATCGGAGCCCTGTCCTCCAAGAATACGACTAAGTGTCTGAATCCGTCTCGTCTTTTTCTCAGAGCTACTTCAGCCCACTTGATGATAGAAGGACAGCATTAGTTCACAGTTGAAAAAACATACAACGCTACCAGATGGATTTCATTTTATACGATCTGACTGATAGCAGTCCCTTTAATCAACTATATGGTAGCAGTTCAAGCCAGTGGCCGTCTTACGTGCCAGCCTGTGTTGGTAGATCGTGTGGTTCACCCTTCCAGGTAGGTAGGCTATGACAGTTTAGAGTGAAGAATGCAACTGTACGTTCTTTTGAACATCAATGCATTTTCCTGTCATACTTTACTGTTCACCCGTCATCTTCCATGGACTACTTAATAAGGATTTAATTGCTCTTTGTCACCGTTTGGTAAGTACCAGCCGTGTTTCTCTCATTCCAATATATATGCGAATCACAAAATTGTGTGATTTTTATATTAAATCTTGTGAGAACTTTGCCCCAAAGATACTTTACGAACCCAATTATCTGCTCAATCCTGACCTATCTACTTGCCGTTCCCACGCTACAACCCAATCCAAATATCACTGCTTATCTTCTTGCATGAACATTTATCGCAAATATATGGTGTCCTATCTGACTCGTAGCTAAACTGTCAAGATGAGGATCTGAAAGGAACTAATTTTAAACCTGGAAAGATAATCTTCTATTTAAGTTTTATCTTAGCTGTATATGGCTTTTTCATTTTTTGTCCCATTGTTACGGTGACCACATTTTTTGACTGAAATGTAGGTATAGTTGCCTGCACAAGTCCTTACAATAGAATAGTATACACTACAATCAAGCGTGTCCCTTTATCTTCATGAGGGTGCTCAAACCAAACGGAATTTCCCAGTGGAACAGGTGTCACTTTGGTTGGACAATCTGTTCAACTAATGAGGTCATAAGTCACACAAGGAATCTAAATCGATCTGTTTCATTATTCATTATTCACTCAAGACACAATGTACCATCAGCTGCGCAACTGCATCCAATGTATCTTTTACGACTAGTAAACATATATTATATCCGTTTACCGAAGGAGTTTACATTCGTACATGGAAGCCTGATTAGTATAAACAGCTTGAATTTATCCGTTTCCTGGTCCTTCTATGGTTAGTGCGCCAAAACGTGTTCTCATTGGACGACAAATATCTTGTAATTTTATTACTCGTAATTAAAATGATTGCCTGCTGTGTACATCTGACGACAAGCGGTCAAGTTTATTCGGATGCCCTCGACGCTATGCTTTTTCGTTCTCTCATCCAATCACGTCTTTTGCTTGTATATTTGAATAGCTTATCGATAAGTTGTCGATCGCAATAATTTCATGTGCGTCAGATGCTATCAGAAAGGAAAAACATGTAATTTAACAGTGAAGATTTTTCTCCGAGTGATAAATAGCTCCCGAAAGGCAATTCGGTGGCATATCAAAGATAAATGAAATACTTCGTTTAGTCCTTTGCTAGTTTGTATTGAAACCAATTCGTTAAACAATATATCACTCTGAATCTCAACGCAGTTCAATAGCATCTAGTTGTGGATTTATGGTTTTGACGGAACGTATTATGTATGATGAGCAGAAGAACCACCGTTTGTTTATACAGTCAATCTCCTGCTATGTCGCACCCCTGAAAAGTCGCATTTTCTAATATCTTCCCACTTTTTCGAAAACTCAGACCCACCGTATGCCTAATGGTGTAGTTTCTGACTATGCAATGTCGCACCCCTCAATATGTCGCAGTTCCTGATAAGTACTCACTTGGTCGTTGACCGACGACCACCCTGAAATCTCGCACTCAACCAATGGCGTTGCACCTAGTGTGACGCGTTCATGGCTCTGTTCACTGATTGGATAATCCTTGCGAGGAAGTCACACCGATGTAAGTGATCGGAGACAGTGTCATTTGACGTCAAAATGTGCCAGCACCCATCGATCAGATAGAAGCAGAATGTGTTGGAAATGGTGAATCAGCTAGGTGCAACTCAGAGCTCCGCAGCCAAATCAATTGGAATTTCACCAAACACTGTCTACAATGTTGTATTCCATTGAACGAATATCGGGGAATTTTTGAACACTGGAACATCTGCTGAAAGATGCCACCTGAAAACCAATGAAAAGTTCAAGGCAGTGAATGAGGCAAATTCGGCTTGGTTTACTGCTGTGAGGGAAAGCACGGAGAGTCCCCAATGGTGGAGAGCATCTCATGTAAGACAGCAATCCAGCTGGCACAAAGATCGCATCATAATGACTTCAAGACTTTCAAAGGTTGGTTTCGCTGTTGGTCAGACAGATATGTTATTCAATCGTACAAAGTAAGAAACAAAAAACTCATGTGCATTACTTTATAGGTATGTGGGGAAAGTTTGGCGGCAAAACGTGATGCAGTGGACGAGTTTCGAGCGGAGTAATCACAGTTGATACATGGATATGCTGACTTTGATATTTCCAATGTAGGTGAAACCGCTTTGCTTTACCGGCAGCTCCTAGAAAGAACAATAAGTCTGAAAGGAAAGACAGTTTCTGGGTGCAATAAATTCAAAGAGAGGGTCCCGTTACTACTTTATGGGAGCTTGACTGGGGAAAATTTATCACTGTTGGTGATTAGATGCCTCCGAGGTATAGATAGAAAAAGCATTTCATGCAGTTATAATTCTTCAAAGAACTCATGGATGACTTCTTACGTTATTTCACAGTTGGCTGTCCGATGTCAACCGAAAAATGGTTTCTCAAAGGTGCTCTATTTTACTATTTATGGAAAACGCCCCTTTTCGTTACCAAGCCGCAGTATTCTCCAATGTTAAACCCAATGGATCAAATATTCAAATGTTAACTTCGGAAACATTTACTGGAATACGTTTTAACTTTGATCGAAGATGAGCAACTTATCATGAAAGCCGAAATGGACATTTCCATGTATCTGGATAAGAAAGCTTGAATGTCTGCATCCACAGGTACTGATCAACGCTTTCATGGAAGCTGGGTTCAAATCTACATTGATTCACCGGGTGATGCAGCCACCAGGGGATAAATGCGATTTGATCGAGGACTTTACTCATCATGTGTCTATTGATGACTGTCTTTTCGAAGAAGAAATCGCCTGTTTGGGATTTGATGATGATGATAAGTGGGTTATTTAAAATTTTTGTAAGCGGGTGAGTGGAGTGAGATGTCAGATCCACCATAGCGCTGACGCGCCTGTGTGAATGAATGAATGATACTCCCACTTATCCTAAAGCATCGATGAAATTAGACGGGTCACTTGCCAAAGGTCATCGTAACCCGGGTCTAAGGGCAGTTTGTGAGATGCACTCTTAGTTTATGAATCGTTAATTGCTTGAGAGTTGCCGTAATTCCTGTAGTCTGGCGTCCAAGGCCTTCGGTTGGTTGAACAGGTGTGAATTTCTTCCAAGTAAACTACCGTATCACGTCTGCCGGAAAATTTGCTCCAGAACCGGCTTAAATATAGTGACGAGTCAAACGTTGATCCGGTGTCATCATCGCTAGACCTTTTTGATTCGAAATCTCCCACATGGCTTATCGTTCTACAATTGATTTTGCTGTGGTGATTCTCCACCAACACTTAAACAGCATCCGATTCAGAACTCACACGACCGATCGGGTTCATTTATCGATCGATCGGATAGCTTGCCGCAACAAGAGACCTGGCGCTTGCCCAGCTAACCCGGGCTAGAAGCCACACCTTGTCTACAACCGCGAGTCTTTAGCAGACCCAGTGAACTTCGGCAGTACAGCATGTGTGCCTTCAGTACACGGATGGACTGCACATGACAACAAGATCACAGAAAGTATAAGACAATGTGAAACGATGGGGTAATTGGACTATCGCAGTATCCACATAGAAACATGATACTCGGATATCTTAAATTGAAAATGGTATGGTTTTTGAATTACGTCATGGCATCACGTGTTTAACTTAGTCGGACCAGCAACGGTCATGACGAATACATCAATCGGTTCGAACATAAACTGGTAAAAACAAAAGCGAACGAACGAATAGATGTCTACAGACGCCAATGATACACATTTTTCTCTAGAAAAACATGCATAGATTGCAGAACGAACAATCACTGTGAATGTGGGAAGGATGTCAATGTTCTGAGTATACTTCGCGTTGAATCCGTTTTACCGGTTCCTCCCAATGTTCCATCCTGCATTTCCCTCGGTCGCTTATTCACCACCTTTGTCGATTAACTTTGATCCACAGTAGCTTATTTTCACATGAGCTTGCATCGGCGCCCACGTTTGCACCACTTGACTCGATTCTTTGTTCACTTGGTATCCCACCTCCCCTATGTCGGCACCCACTGCTAATTCATGTTCGATCATGTGACCGTACAATTGCCTCTCCACAGACATGCACACTCAAACACACGCACCCCTGTCCCCGTCTCAAACACGCACTTCCCCGGCACATGTTCCCTCGTCTAATGTGACTTGAACCCTTTGACCTTGTGCGCCGACTGTGATTGGACAGTCATCGTGACAGTCGGTCATGTGTCTACCCTTATTACTAGTGTCTTTAATTCGTCCCGCCAGTTTCGCTTTGTTCGGCCACTGAAGGTTTTGTCCGCTCGATTGGCCCTAGTAGCTGTTACCTGTATCAGCCTAGATCGATTGACTGTTCGGTGAACTCCCTGTGAGAACGCCACGAATTGAGGTTTGTACCTGTAATTGCGATGTAATCATTATTTAACTGTAGTACCGCATTTATTGTACGCTAGTAAACCAATTGTACCTAGCTTGATTCCGTCTTTTGGTTTGGCGCGTCACTCAACCTTGGCCTAGAACCCGAACAGATCTAACAGTACTCAATTCAGTTCTCTTTGACGAGGACGCATCGGACCAGTACCTAATACTCGATTCAGTTCCCTTTGACGAGAACGCATTGGACCAGTACTACTACACTATGCCGATGACCAGGAACCAACAGAAAAGGCTCACCGACTCTGGACCGCTGGATATATCACATTCGGTGGATATGAACCCCGATCCTCCTTCCCCAATCCTGTCTATCGCAGAAAACAATGTGGGTAAGCAGTTTTCTTCCCGTTCCCCATTGTTTGGCATGGCTATTAATGTAGACAAGGCAGGTAGTGAGATCTCAAATAATTGGTCGTCGGTCAGTAGCATTAGTAGGCTGCGACAGATAGAAGCCGAGGAAATAGAGCTGGAGATGCAGAGACTGAAATTAAGGCAGCGGCAACTGTCCTTAGAAAGACGACTAGCATTAGGCAGCCAGCAAGCTAGTGACGAAGAAGCCGAAGCACACGTCCAAGCCGAGGTCACACAGAAAAACCATTTGGACTCCGTCAAAACGTGCCTGGAAAGCCATCAAGCAACCGCTCCAGTCGATGGGAATCAGAACCTTTTCCCAAAGGTAATAACACATCGCCAACTCAGGCTACCGGATGTCGAGATTGCTAAGTTTGATGGAACCCCGAAACGTTTATGGAGGTTCCTTAGTAGCTTCAAGGCAGACATAGCTAGCCACTCGCTCAACGATAGAGAGCGACTATGTTATTTGATTCATTTTTGTGTCGGTGAAGCCAGGGAAGCTATTGAGGATTGTGTGTTGTTGACCGCGTCAGAAGGATACTCGCGGGCGATGCATATTTTGGAAACCCAGTTCGGATGCCCGGATGATGTCGCTGAGGGTCTCCTGGATGAATTGTGCAATGGGAGTAGACTCAGAGCAAGTGACGTCAATGGTCTACGAAAACTTGTACGGCAGGTGGTCGCCAGCGAGATTTCCCTAGCAGAAATGGGTTACGAGTCAATCCTCAACTGCCCGACTNACCTTCACTTATTGTTACGGTCAAGGAGTGACTTCTACGATCATATCTCCGTGGAAACGGGAGGAAGATGTGCAACGCGTGCACGGACCGAGGAGAAGAATAAACGCGATAGCTAGTCGCTTCGATGAGAGGTGTGCTGTCTGTCATGCTGAACACGGCCTGGAATTATGCAATAAGTTTCTGTCTATGTGTTACGAGGAAAGGTTTGATGTGGCTAGAACAGCGAGAGTATGCTTTAAATGTTTGAGGCCGGGTCACAGAGCTAGTGTTTGTAATACAAGGAGTCGCTGCACCGAGCCTGATTGCAATGGTCGTCATCACGTTTTACTTCATGTGTCCAGATCTCACAATACTTCGGTGCAAACCAATGTGAATTCAGTGAAGTTAGACGTCCCGCATACCTTTATGGGATTTTTGCCCGTCAGGTTCATCGGACCAAAAGGGTTGAAAGAAACATACGCCTTTCTCGACAATGGCTCAGATCCCACCCTGTTGTCCTGCGCGGCCGCCGAGGCTTTGAGTATTGAAGGTCCAGTTACGAGAATCCGAGCGACCTCGCTAGCGAAACCATTTGTAGAATGACCCCGGAGGTTAACTTTGCTGTCCAGTCATTAGATGGCGATCATCAGCTGCAAGTGGAGAAGGCCTACACGCTCGAGTCACTGCCGATTCAAGCAGCTTACGACCCGCCCGAAAGTATGAAGTGCTGGCCTCATTTAAAGGGTGTACATTTCCAGAAAATCCAAAATAAAACTGTTGATCTGCTGATTGGCACGAACACCCCGGAAGCGCATTGGGTGCAAGATCAACGTATCGGAAATTCCCGACAACCGTACGCCCTGAAAACAGTTCTAGGATGCGTACTGCTCGGGCCTGCGAGAGGGGATCGGTCTACAGCAAGATCGGTCAACTGTCTAGCTACGGAGGAAACGATGCAGTCGCCAATTGCCAAACTCTTTGAAATCGAATTCGGTGAGGATAACCAAGGAGTTGATCTGGCGAACTCCCAGGAGGACAAGTTGGCCCTGGAATCCGTTCGAAGTTCCGCAACTGTCGTGGAGAATCATTATCAACTTCGTTTACCTAGGAAGAGAAACTGGCGCGAGATACCCTTTAATCGATACCTGGCAGAGAAAAGATTAAATCACCTACGAGTACGCCTCGAAAGAGATCCGAATCTGTCGCGTAAATACGCCGAAATAATGGAAACGTACGAGAAAAAGGGCTACATTAGCAGAGTACTGGAGCATCAGTCAAACGAGGTACGTTTCGTCCCACATTATCAAGAGCAAACGTCTTTCTTAAATTTTGCTCTTGTCAAACTTGCCAGTTTGACTTCTTAAACCTCCTTACTAAAGCAGTGGATTCCAGTAAAGCTTACCTGAACATGAGGAACGCATTTGACAGAGTTTCGCACCCATGGCTTATAACCAAAGCCCGATCTTATGGGATAAGTAAACTATTCCTCTCATGGCTTTCTTGTTACTCATCAGACCGCTTTCAGGAGGTGGTTTTGATAGAGAATGATTCTTCCCATTCACAACCTTTACTAGTGACGTGATTTAAGGTAGGGTAGTAACAATAATAATAATAATATTGGTATATTTCACGAAGCCCGTGAAGCATGCTAGTGTGCATGATCA